ATATATATAAAGTGAACATAGAAGTCAACACTTAGAGGCGACAGTCTGTTTCATGCTAGATGCAATCGTCGGGCCACGAGTGCTGTTATTTTTCGCGGCTATTTATATATATATAGGGGTCAGTGGTGATTGTGGGTACCCTATTTTGTCGGTTATTTTACCGGAACTCGTTTATATGTTTATTTATTTATTTCGGTTAAATTATTTTGCTTAAGGCGATATTTTTTTCTTATATATATATATATATATATATATATATATATATATATATATATATATATATATATATATATATATATATGCATGTTTCATTAAAAACGACAGAAAAGGTACTACGGTTATTTTTTCTTGTATTCTAACAAGAGCTTTCTTTTCTGGACAAAGAATGTGTAAGAACTGTTCAAATATGTTATAGTTCCGAGTGCTTTCGGCTATGCCTTTAGCCATTATCAAGGATTCGATTTTTCAGCTTAATTGTGTGTGTGCGTTCTGTGTATGTTTTAGTGTGTGGTAGGAATATTTTTAATTTCCGAATACGGTTAGCTTTGTTCGTAGTTGATATTGTTAAGAGTTGACTTTTTCTTTTTTATTATTAAAGCTTCCATTAATTTTAGTCTTTTTTTGCAGGTGGATCCAATTAATATATTTGTGTTTTCTACCAGTATGTTCCTAATGGAGTCGGGTAAATTTGTGTGTGTGTTTAAATGGGTTCTAATGAAGCTGTAATCAAATAGGTGTAACGTAAGACGTCTGGATAAGCATGTGGTTGTGTAACCGATGTAATTATTTATGAGTCCGGTTTGATCAGGAACACAGTTAAGGGGCATTTGAACTCATAGATAATGTTCGTTCTTTGTAATTTTGACTTTGCTGGCGTTTGTTATTTTTGAGGATAAGGTTGGCTGTCTTAAATTTTTACTACCGGATTCAGAGCGACCAACAACTGAAATGTCATGAATATGGCAATATAGATGAGAACAACAGTCCGATATATATATATATATATATATATATATATATATATATATATATATATATATATATAAGTTTATATATTTTATGTTTATACGTTTTTTTTAGATACAAATATTTAAGTAAATGTTATTTTAATAAACAGTATTAACTACTTTTGCCGGCCTGAATGTCCGAGAAATCTCATATGATCCTCCGACAGGTTCGAACCTGTATTCTACACGCAATCGTCATTGGCCTGAGGTGCTATACTATATAGCTACAGAGGGATCTTCTGGTTAGCAAATCTGTAAATGTTGTTAATAATGCTTATTATAAACAAAACATTTACTCAAATATTTGTATCTATAAAAATACCGTAGAAACAAAAATATATTAAAACAATTGTCTAACTTATTCCATTTCATATATATATATATATATATATATATATATATACATATGTATGTGTGTGTGTGTGTGTGTGTGTGATTAAAAATATCATTGAACAGTTCTGCATGAACCAACTACACAGCGACTATAAACTAGAAGAATAATATAAGAAAACGGTTTTGTATATATACCTTTATTCAGGAAACGAATGAAACTCATCTCTTATTACAAAAATGCTAAAATTCTCCATGATTACCACCAATGAAATAATAAAATTCAAAATTTGATCAAACCAACATTTTTTATGAATTCGCTTGTCCACAAGATACTTATCTAATAATATGCATTCTAAAAACACATACATTGGCTAGACAACAACCACATCATCGCGCCAATTAATATATCATTTATCCGACAATTGTTCAATTAAACGGCATAATGCCAACAAGCACAAAAATACAAGCAATTTATCTAGTTATTATGTATAACACAAAAATATTGTATCACACAAACTACGAAGAAAAATATAGAATGTTTAATAATAATAATAATAATAATAATAATAACCCGCTATAAATTAACTATGGAATTGCCATAGCTCCCCAAAACAAAATATATATTTTGATGGCTCATGAAATCCAAAAATACTCAAATATGGAATATCTTATATTTAAATATGTTCTGCATATCTGGAAAATGGCTTGAAATAAAAATTATTACCAAAGAAATTACGTTCGTCATGAACCCAATATCTTACTTATTATAAAACGCAGATTGTGTGTGTGTGTGTGTGTGTGTGTGTGTGTGTGTGTGTGTGTGTGTGTGTGTGTGTGTGTAACGTTTATATATTGGATCGGATTTTCTACATTTTTCAACCGATTTCAACAAAACTTCACATGACTACGTAAAATTACCTTGCGGTGGTTCTAACAGCGCCAAAAATTGTAAAAACACAATTGTTTTTGCACGAAATCAATTTGAAAACACGATTAAGAGGCCTTAATGAAAGGGGGACAACTCACTTCGGGTTAAAAACCCAGGTTGTTTGTGTGTGTGTGTTCGTTTATATATGGGATCGGATTTCCTACATTTTTCAGCCGATTTCTACAAAACTTCACGTTTTTTTGGCAGGTAGTGTTTCTTATTGTCTTGCACACTTTTTTCATTTTTACATTCAGAATGCTTTAAAAATTCCATTTACAAGACAATTGTTTATAATAAAATTCTATTCAATCGGTAGTAAAAACAATGTTTTTGTTTGAGTTTGGGTTTGACCAATTCGTAAAAAAAAACAAAAAACAAAACAAACAAAAAAAAAACTAATTAGACATGCGTGTCCGTCGACCTTAAACAATAATCTAACGATCTCTACTGATTGTACGAATCCAAACATCTTGAGGGAAAGATAATTCCACGTACTTTAGGGCCGTTTTTATAATTCCCTTTGCAATTTGGTACAAGGCATCTATAAGGCATTGGTTCTATTTGAAATTAATTCAATATTTAAAAGAAAGTATTAAGAAATAATTAAAAAAATGCCGACGTAAGAAATCTGATAGACAAAAAACAAAAATATTTCGAAGATGATAATTATTAAGGAAAGAACACAGTACTTACCTTGTACCCGACTTTTTTGCTTGATTCCTTTTTCTTTCTTTTTTTTGTTCATGCAGGTGAGTCTTTTACGAGGGTGGGTATGTGTCTTGCTTAGGGGTTTACGAGAATTTTCGTCGTTTCCTCAGTGGACCTCGACTCATAATTGACTTTTTAATCTTCAATAATTGTCCACACGTGAGTGCCTTTTCGGGCGCCAAGGTCATCCCCCTGCTCCCCTTACCAAACCCGAATAAAGTTAATATTTTTGTATTAGAAACAATGAGTGGAAAATATATTCAAATCAGAATTCTAATTATGAATCACCACAAGCAAAATATGCAATTTTTTTACTGTATTCAATAAGTAAAAATCATAAATTGTAAAAAATTACAGAAAGGCTACTGAATGAATAAGATTTGTTAGATCATCTTACTTATTATAAAACGCAGATTGTGTGTTTGTGTATCTGTTACGTTTATATATTGGATCGGATTTCTTACACTTTTCAACCAATTTCAACAAAACTTCACAGGACTACGTAAAATTACCTGGCGGTGGTTCTAACAGCGCCAAAATTTGGAAAAACACTATTGTTTTTGCACAAAATCTACTTGAAACACGATTAAGAGGCATTAATGAAAGGGGGACAACTCACTTCGAGTTATACTTATTATAAAACCCAGGTTGGTTGTTTGTGTTTGTGTGTGTGTTTGTTTATATATGGGATCGGATTTCCTACATTTTTCAACCGATTTCAACAAAACTTCACTTTTTTTTTTTTGGTAGGCAGTGTTTCTTATTGTCTTGCACACTTTTTTCTTTATTTTTACATTCAGAATGCTTTAAAAAATTCCATCTCCAAGAGAATTGTTTATAATAAAATTCTATTCAATCGGTAGACTCCTAACGATTGAAAACAATGTTTTTGTTTGAGTTTGGGTTTGACTAATTCGTAAAAAAACAAAAAAAACTAATTAAGACATGCGTGTCCGTCAACCTTAAAGAAATAATCTTTGTCAACTTTATTTTTCAGTCTTTGTGATGGTCGATACTTGATCAATCTCTTACTGTTACATCTCCGGGCAACGCCGGGCTCTACTGCTTGTATATTAATAAAAAAGGCATATTAATAGATACAAGCGACATTCTTAATTTTGATTTATGTAAAAAAACAAACACATTTTTTATATACAGCGATATTATAATAATCTATAAAATAAACACGAATGTCAATGTGTCACACTTTTTTCAATTAAATCGATAGAACTCTTTAAATTTCTATAGGTCATGTTACAGAGATGTTGTATTTCCTAATTTTCATTACTGTGATTATTTTCGGCGATTTTTACGTGATTTTCTGCGACGATATTTTTTGTACGATGACAATTTTTATAACTTGGAAATAATTTTGGGAATAATCAAAATTAATTGCGAAATCCAGCGAAAGTCACCCATGATATAAAAATAATTGTTTGTACGGAAAGTAAGGACCTACGCACATCAAATTGTCTTTAAATTAAGTGGTGTCAGAAGAATTATCGCTGGACTTTTAAAAGGTAAGCATAAATATTAATGCAACACTTAACTGTAGCGTTCAATTTTGAGTTAGTCTCTAGTGGGGTTTTGCCTACCGCATACGGCAGCAGTATAACCGGCAAAAAGAAATCTTTGTGAACAGATGACAATATTTTTTAAAAAAAAGAGCCAAGTTTGTAGCGAGGGAAAGAAAGTCCCCTGCAAATGAAAACCCATTTCAAACGGCAGCTAGGAGAACTTCCAATGGTGAGAATATGCAGAGACTGTGGATACTCTCAAACTCCTGAACAAGCCAAAGTCCCAACCAAGAGACCTCCGCAGGAGCTAGCTTAAACGCCGCCGGATAGGGCATCTTTTAAGCTAGTATTACTAATATATTTGAGGCATAGCAAGTTTTAGATGGGTACATGAATGAAATTCTGGACTGAATGTCTGTAATTACGAAAGTTTATGATACACTCCAATAATGAAAACCAGAATTTGGTATCCATGGGTGAAAGAATGGATACACTGGGCTTTCATACTTTGTTGCGGAAAAGGGCGAAATAGAAGAAGAAGAAGAAGAAGAAGAAGAAGAAGAAGAAGAAGAAGAAGAAGAAGAAGAAGAAGAAGAAGAAGGGAAAAGAAGAAGCGGAGGAGAAGGAAAACAAAATAGAAGAAGTGGTGGAGGTAAATGAATAATTGGGAGGAGGGGGAGGGGGAAGAAGATGAAGAAGAAGACGGAATTTGAAATTTTCTTTCGAAATGCACGTGAAATAAGCCATCTTAATTATCTGTTTCATTCTGTAAGTTTCGGAACAAAAGAGGCGAATAAAGCAATGCCAATTTCGGAAAGTACCCAAAATGCATAGCATTTTCAACTGAAGATTGCAGAGAGACTTAACAGCTGATTTCAGCCGCTTGTATACTGGAATTAACATAAAAAAAATAATATAAATGCCAGAGCGAGATTTAGGATATGAGGATTATGTATTTATGCAAATCACCCCTATATATATATATATATATATATATATATATATATATATATATATATATATATATAATCAAGACGAAAAAACTTATTTTTTGTTATAATTTATTTCGTGAATATTTAAATATTCAACTCTTCAGACCGAAAAACCTTTAGGAAAACTTTTAGAAAAACTTTTACAAAAAGTTTTTCAGTAGAATATTTTCGTCTTTATTATTATTATTATTATTATTATTATTATTATTATTATTATTTTTCTCTGTAATAGACAATGTGTTCCCCCTGGATTAATATCCTCCTTTGAATTTACCCTACTAGTCACAAATTGGATATATATATATATATATATATATATATATATATATATATATATATATATACACACACACACACACACATACACATATATATATATATATATATATATATAGTCATAATACAATATGGTAATCCGTATGGAATTTCCAGGAGAATATAGATCAAGAGCAAAATTATTATTAATTAAATAATATCAAAAACTTAAAATCACATAGAAAATAATTTTTGTTTCATGAGAGCTCTACAAAACAGCTCTCAATCTTTTGTTTGTAGGTCTTGAGTTTTGTGAGTTACTTTTTAGAGCTCTCATGAAATAAAAATTATTACCTATGGGATTTTAAGTGTTTGATATTCATTAGTTTATATATATATATATATATATATATATATATATATATATATATATAAACAATTGCAGAGATCTATCTATCTATCTATCAAAATCTCATCTTTCAAATTCATCTTTAAAATTCCCAGGGTCTCTTGTCCGTATGCTTGTGCAGTCGCATCAACCTTAAGCATAAACTTAGTCCGTTAAAATCTTAAAGGACGAAACGCGCCGCACGAAAACTTTTTCATACATCTTCTGCCCAAAATTGTTCTGCATATATAAAAGTTCATATGTCGTTATCCAATCAATCATATCTATCTATCTAAAAAAAACCGTCTTTAAATTTAAAATTCCCAGAGTCTTTTGTTCGTGCGCATGTGCAGTCGTATCAACGTAAACAAACTTTTTTCAATGAAGTCTTAAAGGACAAAACGTGTCATACATAACATTTTCCTCTTTTTCATACATCTTTCATCTAAAATTGTTCTTCATATATAAAAAGTTTAGAGATCGTTATCCAATCCTATCTATCTATCTATCTCTCTATCTATCTATCTATCTATCTATTTGTACGTGTGCAATTTGGGTTGCTGAAAACTTCATTGGCGTCGGTATTTCTATGTACGTCTTTCGAAATAAGCTCATTGACCGCCTCATAACGACAGCAAATTCAAAAATGAATAATATACCAATAAGAATTTTTTAAAAAAATGAAAGAAAAGAAATACCGGTTGCATCAATGGCTCTACGCCCAAACTTTAAAATTCAATCCGTTTGTCTGTGTGTCTCGTTATTCGACTGCTTTTTCTTTTTTGCAACCTATTTTTCTTAAGCAATCGATTTGATCATTGACGTGTAAACACTCTATTGTAAATCGATTGTCAGTCAAGTTGGAAGTGCTGTCTGTCTAGTTATTTCTCTTCGACACAAACTGTCCTGCTTAGGTCCTTTCTTTCTTTCGTCATTTCTTTTTTTTGTTCCTTGTTTGTTATCGGTCCTACAATGTTTTTTCTCCACAGGTCACGCCCAGTCGCTTGTAACATCATGTTGGCTTGTTGCCAGTAAAGGGCGGAGAATTGTTTTCAGTAAGAGAATAAAAAAATAAACAAAGGGAAAGAAAAATAATCTTCAAGTTCGACATGGTAAGAAAAGACAAGTAAAAAAATGATGAGAAAGGAAAGTGAAAATCCGCAAACTAACGTCAGAGTTCAAATAATAACAGAATCTCTCTTACATATTTATAAGTCTACTATTCGTTCTTGCTTTGAATAATGCCGCCAAATCTCGTCTAGTGCTCCTGCAATATTTTTAAAGATTCTTGATAAAATCCAAGGAGAGATCTGCAATGTTAGTGATCCTGACCTATCATATCGGCTTCAGTCACTTTCTCACCGCCATAGCGTGGCCTTTTCTATAAATACTTCCGTGTTAATTGTTCTGGAAGTAGTTATGACTTCATAGAGATCTGAGGTATTATGGCGGCTTTAGTAAAAATGGTAAGAATGTGTTTTTGGTACACTATTTACATCGGACTATCATCCTCATCGTTGTTGCCATTTTTATCACAACATTTCGGCCGTTGTACGCTCCGGCCTTCTTTAGGTGGTTGGAATGTCGAACTGAATCTTTTATTTTGCTCGCTGGGGTAGACTGTTCTAGTTCCACGTGCCATGTCTAATGGATGTCAGTCATTAGTTATCTCCTGTTAATTCTCCTCTCCAATTTCTCCACCTTGAGGACACATGGCACAGTGGATAAAGGCGTTAGTTAGATCCAGTAACAGGACCCAAATAGTGTGAGTTCAATACCTGGTTAAGGCGGTTGGAGAACAGTCTCTCCCAGAGAGCAAAATAAAAAGTTCAGTTCAACATTCCAATCACCTGAAGAAGGCCGGAGCGTACAACAGCCGAAACGTTGTGATAAATATGGCAACAAAGATGATGATGATAGTACGAACAATATAAATAGTGTACATAATACCTCATCGCAGAAATATAGACAGGTGCTTTTTGGTGTAAGGAATACTGTGGTATGTTTGGGTTAGTTATTGTGGCTATCTAAGTTTAAAATAAGATGCCTTTCCCACTTTTGGCCTTGTGCCACATTTTGCATTTTCAAAATAAATATTACTTTTCTTTATGGTACCTAGACTTTACGAATTTAAGTGCAGTACTAGATTTGCGCCAAATCTCAACATTTTACAGTTAAAATGGTGAGATTTAACCGCAAGTTCTATGCTAAGAGTTTCTACCATCACACCTCTCTCTGGTGGAACTCACTTCCGTTTTCTTGTTTCCCAGTCAACGTTGATTTTCAAAAATTTAAATGCAATATCAATCGTTATCTTCTGTCTTCTTAATAGTATATTTTTCTCGCATTTTCTAACAATCAGTAACTCATTGTGTCTTAGCGGCTTCATTGTCTTGCGTGGGGTGTGATGATTAATAATCAAAAATAATTTTCAGGAGATTTTTTTTTTATATAAATGAAAGCGAGAAAAAAGGACTATCTATTGTAAGAAGACAGAATGTATAGTCGTCAGCAAGATAAAGTGCTCAGGGTGAATTGAAGATGTCAAAATCAAACAATTACAGAAGTTTAAATATCTTGGAAGTTTTTTTTTTTAATAGAGGAGGAAAAAGTGACACCCAAACCGAACGCGAATTGGAAAAAGTAGACGATGGCTCCGCGCAAAATAAGAAAAATTACGAAGGCAAGGAAACTTTGATGAACTTCTATGTAATACTGATCCACGTATAAGGCTGCGAAAGTGAACACATGAGACAACAGAATTGTACTTATAGAGAAGGATACGGAGAAGGCTATGGCGTAAGTAAGGAGGAAGGTTTTAGTAAGATGGAAACAAAAAAAAAAGAAGAAACAATTAGTGTCGGAATCAGTAAGACAGCTGATATTAGAATGAAGACTTGGAAAATTTGACACTCACAACTCATATCGAAAGCAAATAAACAAGACGAAGCAGGAGGGCACCTAACTGATGAACAATTAATAGTGAAACGGGGAGTTGGGGATGGTAAAAATATTAACATTACTAAGAGCTGCACGGAGAAGAATGTTGGGAAGAGTCATAATCACTTAGATACTGAAGAATAAGTCATTTCGGGGAGCGAAATCTAAAGATGATATAAACGCGCTGTTTCTTAAAATTGTATATTCGAACTTCGACTCTCTTTAGAAAAATGAAATCTAATCGTGCTTTTAATGCCTCACCCAATATAAAGCCCATGCGAATTCTGATTGCATAGATAACTGTTGTGCAGGATGTGAAGAAAATTTGGTGTAATAGGAAGTGAAAATAAGGAGGAATTGTGAATGATGTGGTTAAGGTTTTACTGCTCAGGGGAGCAAACCCACGGGATCCTGTTCAACAATGTAACAGTTCTTGGGAAAACCCTGTCTGAGTGGAACTTCCTTCTTAGATTTGGAATACGGGAGAACTGAGGATAACTTCACTTCGTGTTGTTAATATGGTTTATGTCAACTTACGAAGAACAACATCAATTAGCGTTTAAACACTCGACTACCTCTTCTGACTCTAGACAGGAAAAAAAGCGATTTTAGACAATATAATCATAAACAATGAAAAATGCATTTAGGTTGAATATCGGAACGGAAGAAAATCATAGATAAATTCATATTTTTTTTATTAATTTCAGCTGAAACTGAATATTCATGAGAAAAAAATATTCCTTCTTTTTACAATGGGAACACTTTATTTTGGATTAAGAATGTTGAGTAATAATATAAATGAATCTATCCAACTTGTTTCTAAGAAAAGAAAACTGCCGAGTGATCTCGACAGCTATCTATATGTTACAAACGCATCGTGAAGTTGAGCTTTTGAAGTTCAGCATGCCGCGTATCCTCTTAAAACTGTAAAGGTCACTCAAACTATTTGAAATTAAAATTTTGACCTAAAGTACAGAAATACTGAATACTGTAAATGTTTGAATTGGTGGTACTAATCAATGAAGATCATCTGAGTATTTGCCAAGGGAATAGCAACAGGTCAGTGTCAGGCTTGAAACGTGGCGTCTACAGTGAAGATAAGGATAATAAATAAATAAAGAACTCCTATTCTCAATTTTCAGCAAGGCTGTGATACGAGATAAATCGGAAAT